CTGACCCTCTCCCCACTGGTGCACTCTCTCTCTCTCTCTCTCTAAAATAAATAAATAAATCTTTGGGAAAAAAAAGGGTGTATGAGCAGGGCACCTCGCTGATTCAGTCATTAAGCATCTACCTTCGGCTCAGGTCATGATCCCAGGGTCCTGGGATCGAGCCCCACATCGGGCTCCCTGCTCCACGGGAAGCCTGCTTCTCCCTCTCCCACTCCCCCTGCTTGTGTTCCCTCTCTTGCTGTGTCTCTCTTTGTCAAATAAAATCTTTTAAAAAAAAAAAGGTATATGAGCTTTATGAAGACTATTACAAAACATGACTGAAAAACATGAGAGTCATGAATAAACAATAAATACACCATATTCATAGATAGAAAAACCCAATTCATAAAGATGTCATATTTTTCCCAAATTAATCTATGAATTGAATGTGTCTCTAATCAAAACCCCATTATAATTTTTCAGGGAGCTTAAACTGATTTTAAAATCTGTAATAAAGAGTAAGGGCCTAAGGGTGTTTGGGTGGCTCAGTGGGTTGAGTGTCTGCCTTCAGTTCAGGTCATGATCCTGGAGTCCTGGGATAGAGTCCCACAGTGGGCTCCCTGCTCAGCAGGGAGTCTGCTTCTCTGCCCCTCCCCTGGCTCATGCTCTCAATTTCTCTCTCACTCACTCTCTCTCAAATAAATAAATAAAACCTTAAAAAAAAAAAATAGTAAGGGCCTAAGAATAGCCAAGGTTATTCTGAAAAAGAAAAAGAAGGAAGAACCACACCTACCAGATATCGAGACACTTGCTAAATTAATAGTATTTTAAGATAGCACAAATATGGAGCAGAGATAAATAAATGCATACATGAAACAAAATAAAAACACCAGAAATATTCCCAAGCATATATGGTACCTCAATATGATTAAAAAGGAATGACAAGTTAAAATGCACTCTTTAATAAATGGCCCAGGGACAAGTGTCCTTCCTTTTGGAAAATAAGTAAAATAACTACCTTACACCATATTCAAAAAATAAACTCAAAATTTTCTCAGAAGAAAATTTAGAAAGTCTTTATGACTTTGGAGCAGAAATGTATTTTTCAAGATGGAAACAAATTATAAAGGGAAAATACTGAATATTTTAACTATATCAAAATTTTAAATTTCTACATTTAAAAAATCATTTAAAAAGATGTCATAAAATAGGAGACAATATTTGCAAAAAAATTAATATTCAGAGTATACAAAAACAGCTCCATAAAACTCCATAAAAAAAGACTAAAAAATGCAATAGAAAAATGGGCAAATATATGAACAGGCAATGAAAGGTGCTCAACCTTACTAGTCATCAGAGAAATGCACATTCATTAGATGGGCAAAAATTTAAGTCTACCAACACCAACTGTTGTCAAGGCTGTGCAGAAACAGAAACCCTCCACCACCAGTGATGGGAGTTTAAATCAGCACAAGCACTCCAAAGAGCCACCTGGCAATAGCTGAGAAGGCTGAAGAGGTGCACACCTGGACAATGCGTGCATTATTTTCTCTTGGGAAACTTGCATGTGTGGATAAGAGAGATTTACTGCACCATTTTGTATATTAGAGAAAACTGGAAAATGCCCAAATGAAAACAAAGAACTGTTGAGATTCAAATGCTAGAACTGTGATCGAGAACTGTATATATCAACATTGATAAATCTTAAAAACACATTATTGAGGGATTTTTTTTAAAGGACAATGCAGAAAGTGACTTACAGTATGGTATCATTTGGAAATATAAACAACAGACCAATGTTACATACAGCTAAGGAGCTCTGTACCTAGAAGGTCAGGGTAGAACACAATGGCCGCAGGAAGTACCTGGCAGAGGAGGGAGCACCAGGGAAGGGGGTCAGGCTGGAGGAAAAGGGAGAGGGCTGCACCCACTCTGATGTGTGTGTTTACTATGTATGTACAGGATGAAATCATGTCAGCATTTGTTCATTCCGGGTGGTCGGTACATGGGTCTATGTCATATTATCTTCTGCAAAACTCACTGGCTGAAATAAAAATTAAAGAACTCTATTCACTAAAAAAAAAAAAAAATGAAAACATCTCTGGGCTCAGTCTCTATCTCCAGTCTAGACCTTCCCTTGAGCATGACGCCTTTTGCCTGGTGCCTACAGGACCTTTACACCCCAACTCTTCAAACACAGAATGTCTGAAATGTACTTACTTTTTCCTGACCCCTCCCTGCACCCCCCATGTGCTCCTTCTATAGACATGGTCACCACACATACACTCACTCCTCTGCTGGAAACTTTTCAATGACTCTCAATATACTCCAACAACTTAAAGACAAAAAAAGGTAGGGAAAATCTTTGTTCAAACAATCAAGAAAATCCTGCATACAAGTGCAAACAAATCAGATACACGTGGAGCTGCCTGGGTAGAGCAGGATGGGGCTCAGGGCTCGGCACCTCTCTAGTCCAGGGGGCAGGCCCGACAGAGCCCCTCAAGGAACAATTTGAAAATTCCTAGATGCAAAATAAAACTAAGAGAACAAAGTCTCTCATCATCTGGCCCTCCTCCACATTTCCAACCACGCTTCCTGCCACTTTCTGTTCAGAGTGGGATCTCCAACACCATGAGAGCACTTCTTCACACACCCAGTGCACCTTGCCTCTATGTCCACCAGCAGCAGAGAGCCTGACCACATGTCCACACAAACTCCACCTTTTCTCTCAGGTGCCACTTTTGCACGTGTCTTGAATTTCACCTTGTGAATGGAACCTCTCTAGCCAGAAAAGTGATTCAGCTCTCAGAACTAAGATGAGCAGTGAAGCCAACAGCCCGAGGTAACCAAGGCCCTCTACCTATCTCAGCATCCTCACTTCTGCCCAAACATCTTCCCATCTCGCCTCCTGGGGCTTCTCCATCTCCTGCAACAAATTCAGCCAACAATGTAACTGTTCTTTTACTCCCACCTCTTTGACATTTTTATGCTCTTTCTAGCTTCTGCTACTGTGAAGGTTCTGACAGCACCCATCTGAGGGCTGCCTTGCTGTCTGACAGTGAATGAAATCCTGCTACTAAGTGACTTCAGTTCTCCTCCCTGTTAATAATGACAGGTTAAATGGGCCAGCCAGCTGAATGCTGCTGGCGGTTTAAATGGCAATGCATTAAAGCAAAAGGTGCAAGGTCAGCCTTTTAGAGTTGTGGCACTTAACAAGGTTAAAATCCAATCTGCTCTGAAAAGTCAGAAAGTCCAATTTATCAATGCAGCATGGAACGATCAACTTCTGGGGCACTCGTAATAATAAAATTCACAAAAGACTCATCTAGCCTACAAAGTGCCAACTGTGATGGACTTCACTGTGTCCCCTCAAAATCCTATGCTGAGGCCCTTGACCCCAGTGTGATGGCATTTGGAGATGGGGACTAGAAGGAGGTAATAAAGGTTAAATGAGGTCATAAGGTGGGGCCTTAATCTAACAGCACTGTTGCCTTCTAAGAAGAGGAAGAGATAACAGAGATCTCTCTTTCCGACTGAGCACAGGGGAAAGGCCATGTGAGGACACTGTGAGAGGGTGTCATCTGCAGACTAAGGAAGGGGGCCTCACCAGAAACCAGTCCTGACCGCACCTTGATCTCGGACTTCAAGGCACCATTCTGGGATCAAATACATTTCTGTTGTTTAAGACACCCAGTCTGTGGTATTTTGTAATGGCAGCCCTAGCAAACTAGGAACCAAATTATGAATTTTAAATAAAGATACAGCAGACAGGGGCGCCTGGGTGGCTCAGTCATTAAGCGACTGCCTTCAGCTCAGGTCATGATCTCAGGGCCCTGGGATCGAGCCCCATATCGGGCTCCCTGCTCCGTGGGAAGCCTGCTTCTCCCTCCCCACTCCCCCTGCTTGTGTTCCCTCTCTCGCTGTGTCTCTCTCTGTTAAATAAATAAATAAAATCTTAAAAAAAAAAAAAAAAAGATACAGCAGACAAATCATGCCTCTTATTGAAGACACCGCATCATGGTACCAAGGTATTCAAACCTAGAAATCAAATGCATGATCAACTTCAGCCAGCCAGCAAGGAAGAGAATGAGGTGAATAAAATGTGCCCAAGGAATCTGAAAGAATACATACACGTACCCAAAAAGGCTTTAGTCTTCCCTTGAACAAATGCTAAGCTCCTTGTCTCCAGCTCTCCTAAGCTTTTCCTGTTCCATACTGCTCACAAGGGCCGGTCGTTACAATGTCGCTGGCCCCAGAAGGACTTAGAGTTCTTTCTAAGATCACAACTCATCTTACAGGAGCTACGTTTTGGAAGCAGTTTCCCTTCACTCTGGATGGACAGACGTTACTCTGGTAAACTGTCTCCAAATAATAACTCAGAATTTGAACAGTTTCAGAGAAAAATTCTACCCTACAAACAACTGACCTGTCCTTGGAGGCTGTTGTAGGAAACAAAGAGTGGGGAGGATGCGCTCTTGCCAAAATGTGAGAACCTTCTTTTAAGTTTATCATTCTCTACTAACTAAAATTTAAACAAAGGCAGATACTTTGAACACAATAAAACAGTCATCAGGCCTCTCATTTCAAAAAAAAAAAAAGGTCTTTCAATAGAGTGAATAGTGCAGCACAATGGATATTCGGTCCACGGAATTGCTAATAAAATTGTACTTATTTAAAATTACAAATTAACCTTAAAGGACCAGATATGCTTCTTCAAAGTAGCTCTGATATTTATGATTGAATGAAAAGCCCCTGCCAACCAGCCAGGCGGAAACTCCAATGACAGTGACAAGGGGCTTACCAGAAGACAATCAGAGGGTCAGAAAGTTGGGGGCTTTGTAGGCCACAGGTACAGTCCACAGCAATATTCAGCCACTAGGTGTGTCAACATTAATAACCCTCCCCGGTCACCAGAACAGTCTTCTAAAAGCAGGTGGCAAGTCAATTAATATGCCTTGAAAAACAATCAGAATGTTGAGAACCCCAATCCTTTAGAAACGCAAGGGTGGGGCTGTACTTACATGAAGGAATAATGAACTGTGGCTCAGTGTTGCCTGCGTAGCCAAGCTTGGTGTACCTAAAAGCACAAAGTCATCAACACAGGTTTAGACAATAATACTCTCCCCTGGATCCCATTAGCGTCTTCTATTATAAGCTCTCCAAGTCTGAAAATATCAAGCCTCAAAACAGCCACTTGAAATTTAAAAAAAATAAAAATAAAAAGCTTATGATGAGAATCAAACCCTAATTTCAGATAAGCAAGCTGTTATTAAAACATAACATGTTATGCTCGTTTCTACTGGGGAAAATCTTGCACACATGCATTAACACATCACATTTGTGTATCCCTACCAACTTTACAAGTGCTTGTACACTCTTTTACTTTTTACAAAAACCCAGTAGAGAAAGTAAATATTATCCCTATTTAGCAGATGAGAACACTGAGGCACTGGGAAGTTAATTCAGCTGCCCAAGGCCAAGCAGCTGGTGAACAGGAAAAAAAAGAAAAAAAAAACCCAATCTAAATATGCAGGCTAAATCCCAGAGCTGGCTCTCAAAGAAGTGTACTTACTTCTCAAACTTCATGAACTTTTTTTGGGGGGGGGAGGTTAAAAATGATTATATAATTTTCTTAAAATGTCATGGCATATGTCTAGAAACAGTTACTGCCACCTCCTGAGAATATCTGACAGGAGCATCTCTTTATCATCTCATTTCAGAAGGAGCCCATTTTCTGTCAAGATACTCTGTGTGATGGATTCCAAAAGTCTTAACTAAAACAAATGCCAAAATACTACTATCTGTTCCAAAAGCATTTGCTAATCCCTTAAATAAAAAAAAAAAAAAAAAAAAGTGGTGGGGGGGGACCACCACTGAGAACCATCTGCTGGAAATAAAAAATTGAAAACCGAAAAGACTCATCAGCTCTTCCTTTCTTATTAGGCTTTACTGTAACGAACAGTAAGTCTGGACAACTGAGCCATCGTTCCGCAGTAATGCTTGTAATGAAGAAAAATACCCCCCAGCAGTGTTGAAAGTAACTTTATTAATTCATTCTATTTTATAAATTATTTCAAGATGCTCGATACTAAAATTTTTTGATGTGGCATACATTCCAAATTCTAATAAATTAATTTTATGATTTTTCAATGTATTTTACCATATGCTAATTTTACTATTTTTGAACACACAGTGAATGAATAAGCTTTGGTGAGCCAAAAACGGCAAGTTAGCTCCATTTAAATCATGCCTTACTGCTCAGTCTCCAAGGATCTGACGTCTTGGTGCCACAAGAACCTGGGCGAGGCTAGGCTCTGAAACCCAACAGGCCCCACAAGAAGTTTCTAAGACCCATCTGAGGGCCCCCCCAAGTTCCACAAATTACCAGACACACAAACCAAGTGGACCCCACTCCAGGGCTCACCAGACCCAGAGGGAGGTTTCAAAGCCAACCCAGAGCCGGGGACCTTCCAGAAGGCAGGCAACATATACTAAACTTCTAAAAATTCCCAACCATCATTCTGGAAGTATCTTCCAGACAATAAATACAAATAAACTGAATTGCTGACCCAAGGCTAAAGAAGCCTAGCAAGCAGGTCAGAAACACTAAAATCCTCAAATTTAAGACTACGGTTTTTAAAAGGCCACATCATCCACCCCCAAAAATACACAGCTTGAGCTTAATCTGCCTCCCCACACTGTGAGATTTCAAGTCGTATGATGACAGAACGTAGTCCTTTTTCCTGATTGCACCTGCACCCCTGGCACTGTGCCTGGCACGTGGCAGGCACTCCATAGAGATCTGCTCAGTGAGCTCTTACCAATGTAAGGAAAGGTCATTGCTGTCCAACTGCTGGGCAAAGGAGCGACGTTGGAAAGGGGGATGCTTAAAGTCAGAAACACAAGGTGATGGGGCCACAAAAGACCAGACCCATCATCTAGCATAATCTTTAATTTTATAGGTGAGAAAACAGTTGTTTCTGTGATAAGGTTATTTTCAAAAAAAGAAAAGAAAAACCTGAAACAAATACAGTAAAATATTAAGACTTTTTAAAATTAGGTGCTAAGTATCATTTCTATTATTTTTTGTATATCTGAAAGTCAAGAGTGTGTTGTATTGGTTAAAACCATGCACTCCGGCATGAGACTGCTCAGGTTCACGTCCCAGTTCTGTTTTTTGCCAAATGTGTGACTTTGAGCAAGCTACTTTACCTATCTGTATCTCAGTTTCTCCATCTGTAAAATGGGGATAATAATACAACCTATTTCCTAGGGTGAGTTTTATGTATAAATAGGGAAACAGAGAAAGCACTAGAACAGTGCTATCTACATAAGTTTTATTTTTTTACTATTGTTATTTTTCTGTACGTTTGAAATATTTCTTAATTTAAAATTTTGAAAAGCTCAGAAAACACACCCATGGTATGGTCTGTGGCTGTGTTCAGTCTTTCTGCTGTACATGAGCCTATACACCACAGACACACTCCTTTGCATTGTGGTGGAAATGAAATGCACAAATGGTAAACCCAGCAGATACCAGCTATCCTTCAGCAACTGTGTCTTGTACCCTGCAATCATGAACTACATGTAACCCAGAGCAGCAAAAGGTCAGACTGCAGAAATGGGCTGGTGCACATTTAGACTCACAGCTCCAAAATTCAACTGAATACTGATGATACCACCACCTCGCACCACTCGCCGACCACGGCTGGAATGCTGAGATCCTGAAGGCGCGACGCTCTCCCGGACAGACAGCCTCCAAGGGAGGCCTTCTGTCATCGAGTCACACAGGTAACGGAGCATCAGTAACATTAAGCAAATGATTTTCATGACTGAGGCAAACTAACATTAAGACATATTAATGTTTCTATGTATAAACAAATAACTATGAGATCCTCCCTATCTCCTACCAAAACTGAAGCCATTAAAAACAATGGCAAAAGTATAAACTATTCAGGTCACTTAACATAATTTAATATCTTCAGATTTTTCCTGCTACTCCTTATAGAGCATCAAATACATCTGAGGTTTTGTTACTTTGAATAATCACAATGTAATGAATGTCTAACAAGATTTCTTTAAAGAGACATTCAAATTTAAAATTTTAATAAAACCTTTATCAACCCAGGCTCACACCAAACTTTAAAGAGAACATATTAAGTGTAACACTGAAAATGTAACCTAACAAGTGCTCACCCTATAATCCTCTCCTAGGAGGACAATCCAATGCTAGACTGGCATGCTCCATTACAGGTAATCTTATAACAGTTCAACTATATAAAGAGCAGAACCCAAAAAAAAAAAAAAAAAACCAACAACAACAAGTAAAACACAACTATTAAATACGGACCATGTTTGGGACGCCTGGGTGGCTCAGTTGGTTAAGCAACTGCCTTCGGCTCAGGTCACGATCTCAGGGTCCTGGGATCGAGCCCCACGTCGGGCTCCCTGCTCGGCAGGAAGCCTGCTTCTCCCTTTCCCACTCCCCCTGCTTGTGTTCCCTCTCTCGCTGTCTCTCTCTCTGTCAAATAAATAAATAAAATCTTTAAAAAAAAAAAAAAAAAAAAAAGATGGGCGCCTGGGTGGCTCAGTTGGTTAAGCGACTGCCTTCGGCTCAGGTCATGATCCTAGAGTCCCTGGATCGAGTCCTGCATCGGGCTCCCTGCTCGGCAGGGAGTCTGCTTCCCCCTCTGACCCTCCCCCGCCATGTGCTTTCTCTCTCTCTCATTCTCTCTCTCAAATAAATAAAATCTTTAAAAAAAAAAAAGAAAAAGAAAAAAGAAAATAATGAAACTGCTTTAAAAAAAAAATATGGACCATGTTCAAGACACCATTTATGAAAACAAAGAAGCATTTTTTTTAATCCCAGTTTCCTAGCTAGAAACATGTAGTAGGCATATCATGAGGATACTAAGAAGGGAGGGGAAAAGCATGGCCCCGGTCCTCAAAATGTTTACCTATTAGAAATCGGATTTCAAATTGATTTTTTATTGTAGCATGGCAAGTTTAAGTTCACCTGGGTAGGCTTCCAGAAAAAATGTACCAAACCTTCTGAACAGATCATCAGGGAAACTTCTAAAATACATACTCCCAGTACCTGCCCCAGAATCACTGATGGGAATCTCCAGAGAAGGAGCCTGGGCACCTGTATTTTTAACATCTCCTATCCCAACCCCATGGTTCTGATGGTCAACGTGCTTATAAATCACTAGACAGGGGGCGCCTGGGTGGCTCAGTCATGATCCCGGGGTCCTGGGATCGAGCCCCACATCGGGCTCCCTGCTCGGCGGGAAGCCTGCTTCTGCCTCTCCCACGCCCCCTTCTTGCGTTCCCTCTCTCGCTGTGTTTCTCTCTGTCAAATAAAAAGAAAGAAATCACTAGACAGTACAAATCACAAAGAACTAACTAAATAAAAGGAGTAATGCTGGGAAGGAGGAGACAAAAATTTATTTATAAATGATAATTGCAGACTGGACTATCTAAGGAAATTAAGTAGAAAATTAAAGGAAATAGGGAATTCAGTAAGATGGCCAGTTACTAAATAAATAGACAAAAATCAACAACTTTCCTACCTGATGAGAAGTGAGAATACACACCGAATGAAAAGATCCCATTCACAACAGCAACAACACAGTATCATATTATCTTCAAGACTAAACTACACAGAGGGAGATACAGAGATGGGGAGAGGGGTGTGTGCGAAGAACTCTCGATACACAAACAGGCAAATAAATTGAGACAGGCCTTACTCTTACATAGGAAGAGTGGTATTTTTTTAAGAAATATCAAATAGCATTAAATTCACCTACAAATCGGTTTCAAGACCATTCAACCTCTGGGCCAATACTAAAGAAAGTGGTGGTAAATTATACATGGGTGGCAGTAAAAGCCTGAAGAGTCATTATACAGGGAAGTTTCACATTATCTATCAGAATTTTAAATGCATATCCTCTGTTGTCCAAATAGCACGTTTCTGGGAATTTACCCCACAGTAGCACTTTTAGATGTAGGCAAAGATAGGAACAAAAAATGTTCACTGCAGCATTATAATAGCAAAACAACAACAAAGCGCTAGAA